TGTTAGGTGAGAGTATTTGGCTCAAGCTATTGCAGTGTCCCTGCCAAAACTTAAAGGGGCAAAGCTAATATATTTATCCGAAACTACCGAGTAGTTGGAAATCTTAAAGCTACGAAATGCACTGTCGCTTTATAGAGGTTGCTTATATATTATGCTTTGATTCATTTTACAGCCTGGGAAACGGTATTTCGCGTGGGCCTATCACAAGACAATAGACACGCCATATTTAAACAGCCTGTCTTTAAAACACGACAGAAGCGGGTTACATCCAGTGACGTTACTCCCAGATGACAACAAGGAGCCWGTCCACATTACCTATCCTTGGCCCACTAGGGGTAAGGCAGCTACTCTGTATACCCCCCCTGGYTTAGCAWTTATCGGTTTGATCATTGTAAATTTTGTCATTTAGAAAGTTGTGTCATTTAGAAAGTTGTAAAAGCATACCGCTAAACTAGGCTAGACTATATATCACTTATCGCTAGTTGTCAGTCAATCCTTTCTGAGCATTCAGATCCACAAGAAAAGCCAGCGGACATGTTAGTGATATGAACAACTGGTCTACTGTAGAGAAATCAGAAGTGAGACATTGTGAGAAAATTTGGTGTGATTTGATAGTAGATTGAAAGCGCACATAATGAAATATATAATGTTTGTCCAATCATAGCGAATCTTCTATCGAGGATTTGCACGTCTAATAGAAATCTTTTGTGAAAGTTCTACTAACATGGCTGCCGAGAATTCAAACAAAACTCATTAATTCACACACTTAGTGCAACAACTTTGGAAAAAAAAACTTGCGGAATGGGCGTATAAAGTTTCTAATTCTCTTTTGTGCAAGCTTGGCTTCAATCAAGCATACATTTTTAGTCTTCTTTGTACACAGAGYGTTTGCATTACAATAGATTCTCTGCTGAATAAAAGATATATTACATGCTTTCGAGGTTAAGGCTGCACAAATAAGATCTCCAAACTGGAGTATKGCCCGTTATATGCACTCAATGCACTAAAGAAATGTCGTCAATACGGTTTAAAAAACGAAGAGGTTTGCTTAGAATTCATATATATAGGAGCTCAGGGTTGTAGTCGCAGGGACTTTTTCCAGGTGGTACACAAAACCAGAGATTGGACCAAACTAAAACATTTTCACTGTTGTACTAAAAGATATAGATATAGGTAACTTAGGCATAAAAATAATGATAACAATAAAACGGACAATTTCATTCTAGGTTTTGGCACGCACACAAAAACGAAAATTTTTCAAATTGTTACTCTTAAATCACCTAAATTACACTTAAAATAAGCTGGTACTTATCAGAATTCGCCTTAACATGTTTTTGCTACGACAGTTGACGCCACCGTTTTCCCATGCATGCTATATTTTTAGTTCTCCTCTAAGCGGACCTTTTGYTTAAACGGTCGGGAGGTTCATCCGCACCCTGACCTCCCCTTTTGGCTACGGGCCTGTTAAATTATCGAATGGGGGTCGACCTCCATTTTTAAATCTAGCCTAAGGCTATTATTTAGATAGCCTATAAAAAAACATATAACATAGATATATAACACGTAAATTAATTATCGTTGTCGGGTCCTAAAAAGGTGATATTATCGAGGCTAGCACTGAAGGGGATTATCATTATTTCARTTAATATATGCCTTGACATGTTACATTATCGAAAACATATCTTCTAAGCTAAAACCATTATGGGGATTTTAACTCTTTAAATAATATCTGCCTAAACATGTAACATGTAACATTGTAGAATGACTCGCAGAGGTCATTTTATTCACTGCAGGTAATCTTTTGACATTGAAACTCAGTCTGTGATATTTGCTTTCCCGTGATCCCTTTCGGTCTTAGCTTTCATGAAGTAACCCTTTGGAACCCGACTGTTACTTTTTTTTCCTTTTTGATAACGTTTAAATATAGTTAAAAAGGCAAAGCTAGAAGTTACAATAAAAAAATGCTCGGGCATCTGTGCTGGACTGTCGTTGCAAAGATCAAAAGTATTTGAAATACAAATATAAAGACCTTTATTGTCGCTATTAACTATGATTACAGTTGTAAATAATTGTATATCAAGCAGAATAAAATATTTGTTATATTATGCGCTCTTTGATTGGTCGAGAAACCTGTGGACGGATGACACCATTTAATCTTACGTGCACTCTGATTGGTCAGAACGCCATTTAATCTTACGTGCGCTTTGATTGGTCAGAACGCCATTTAATCTTGCGTGCGCTCTGATTGGTCAGAACCAGTGCGCGCACTTTTGTCATTTCATCCAACAGTTTCAGTGAGGTTACGTACGTTTAGAAAAAAAGTTGTAGGAAAATGCCATATAAAACAAAGAAATATATTTGTTTATTGTAATTGTTCTACCTTCAATTACAATTGTGCACTGTGATTAAACAATTATAAAATTTGTGCTT